ACAATTCCAGACCGGTCTGAGATTACCCCAGTCTGAATTTACCCTCCTATGGGCACCCAGGTTAAGATATAATTTACGCGAACAATTCCAGACCGGTCTGAGATTACCCCAGTCTGAATTTACCCTCCTATGGGCACCCAGGTTAAGATATAATTTACGCGAACAATTCCAGACCGGTCTGAGATTACCCCAGTCTGAATTTACTTGTCTATGGGCACCCAGGTTAAGATATAATTTACGCGAACAATTGCAGACCGGGCTGAGATTACCCCAGTCTGAATTTACTTGCCTATGGGCACCCTCGTCAAGATATAATTTACGCGAACAATTCCAGACCGGTCTGAGATTACCCCAGTCTGAATTTACTTGCCTATGGGCACCCAGGTTAAGATATAATTTACGCGAACAATTCCAGACCGGTCTGAGATTACCCCAGTCTGAATTTACTCGCCTATGGGCACATGGGTTAAGATATAATTTGCGCGAACAATTCCAGACCGGTCTGAGATTACCCCAGTCTGAATTTACTCTCCTACGGGCACCAGGGTTAAGATATAATTTGCGCGAACAATTCCAGACCGGTCTGAGATTACCCCAGTCTGAATTTACCTGCCTATGGGCACCCGGATTAATATATAATTTAAGATATAATTTGCGCGAACCATTCCAGACCGGTCTGAGATCACCCCAGTCTGAACTTACCCTAATACTGCCAGACTAATCTCAGACTCTAGCCGCAGCCGTCTTATTATCCAGCGCTACTGCGCATGCGTCACGCATGCGGACGAGGTGCTGGGGGTAATTTCAGACTGGGGTAATCTTAGCTCTAGTAGTACTATAGCCCGCGTACAGTTGCCACAGGGCTATAGAACATTTTATGCCAGGTTTCGTAGCTGCACCTGTCTCCACAAAAAATGGCTCACAAAATGCAAAATGATCGGTCACATGGACATCTCACCTATCTTTTTTAACAATTTTCACAACTTTACACCATGTATTGTATTTATGCATTTATTCCTCAAAGTGCTAGCACGACTTGCGTTTCGTTTTGAATTTCTGTTGTGTACATGCGTGACGTCACCCGAAATGTAGACAAAACACATGGGCAGCGATCATTTTGCGTTTTGTGAGCCATTTTTCATGGAGACATTGGATTGGGAGACAGGTCAGGTGCAGCTATGAAACCTGGCATAAAATGTTCTATAGCCCTGCGGCAACTGTACGTGGGCTATAAGTACTAGAGCTAGGGTAATCTCAGACCGTGACACAGGCTATACCGGTAGCCACAAGTTACCTTCTCGTTTTCACTACCTCAGTACGCAGGAGAATGTTCTACTACGAGTACGACGTGCAAGAGTCAGAATGGAGCCTTGTATCTTGTATCTTGTATCTTGGGGTACCTCTCTTGTATTTCACAAGGCACTGATTCTCTTGGAATGTGAGGGGAAATCCTGTAGATAAGGAAATTCTGTCTACAAGTTAGCATTAATTATTTTACTTTCTCTAATTGATAATGCCTTTCTAACATATTCTAGTCCTGGTTTTAGTATTTTCAGGTCATCATTTTTCCAATCTTCTACTCGTTCCCCTTTATTATACGGTATACACTCTTACAATACTCTTATACCTTACAATTTACATGAGTATAAATGTTCCAAATTTTCTTTTTTCCTTTCGTCACACAAATCACATATATCAATATCATTACTGTAGTTATTTTTAAAATAACTTTTAAAGTTTATCATGCACGTCTTACACCTATTCTAAACACAAAGCATGCATCATCAAATGACAGTTTTGTCATATATGGCTTTAAATTTTATAGCTTTCGATATTTATCATTTTCATTTTTGTTTTCTCACCAGACCTCATGGTAATAGGTATTGCCATGGTAGGCCTATCTCTCATATTCATAAATGACAATTACTGTTTTTAAAATAGCCTCCTTCACATATTTTTTCCATTCTTTCTTATGTTGTGAACCAATAGTCATAAGTGACATACTTATGTCATACTCCTTCAAGATTTCTAAAGGCTAAAGCCTCATTTGCCCAATTACTTCCAACTTCTTTAATTTGTTCTAAAAATACCGTACTCTGCCTGCTGTGCTGTCTCGACTGTCTAACTTCCCTAGGCGAATCATCAATGTCACCATGACGTGGTGATTTCAAATATCGAGATAACTATTGTACAAAAACAGTACTGTCGTTATCGTATTCTATTTTTTTATTTGTGTTGTAGGCCCTATAGGCTATACTCATCGTAACCTCGTAAAATAATAATAGTTTTCAAAGTTCAAAGTGCAACAACATCATCTTATACCGCGGTACACGGTATAACACGGTAGCGCCTATAGCGTTTTGTTTTGTACTCAAAAATGTTATTATTTTAACCGCTCAACATATCTATTAGAATTTTTCATAAAAAAAGACTGTTTTCAGTACATATGTATTTGTATTTGATTGATATGCAATAAAGATTTAATAATAATAATAATAATTTTAAGTCATTTCGGTGTTTACGAAGTCCCTTGGCTAAGATGTCTGCGCCCGTGTCTTATATGTCTTCATGGAAATTCAAGTTGTATTCTTTTGAAATAGGGCATCACCCACTCCATATCGGTATTCCTAAAGAACATTCTCACGGAATTTTCTGGAAAGAATCTAGCGACGAGTGTATTGTTTCTATTAAAGATAGTGACCATGTTAAAAAAGTTGGTCTTTCGTGTTTATTCGCTCACCTGCACTGTATCAAAGTGGAGAGTGATAAGTACGTGAATACACATACGACAACGTCTACGAGTAATACGCATATTCCAGTAGGAACTTATTCTCATCCTCAAGATTTACATGTTCTGTGCACAGAGATGTTCCTACGCCACTATGGGTTTCACTGTGATGATTCTGTCGTTATAAATCGTGTGAATATGTTTCCCCTAGAAAGGGTCGTACTTGCTGCAAAGTCTGATAGTGTATTCTCGTGGTTAAAGTCGCAAGAATTCATGACTGGGTTGCTTCTTTCTGTCTGTGAAGGTTTAGTTCTGTGTCGCAAGGGTGACGTGTTGCTCTCACCAATCTCTGAACTTCTGGTGAAAGACGACACTTTCACAGAATCTAGATTTTTCGATACTGTCGTTCTTGATTGTGAGCCGCAAAATCAGGGGCTGTTAACTCTGAAGTCAGAGATCATCATCACTCATGCTGTTAATGAATGCTGTGACAATTCAGACCTGGAATTGAAAGATTCTGTTTCTAACATGGCTTCCTTGTCAACATGTGACTCAAACGACTTTGTAAAGGTTGACCAGGTTGGAGATGAGCTGAATCTGCAGATTTCATCTGACGATGACACACTAGTTGTCAGTGAAACTGTGCCCCAATCTGTTGATAAAACCGGTGTGTTTCACCCTTGTATTATGCCACAGTCTTTCCTGAACCAGGGATTGTGTGATACCTCTCTAAAAGATGATGGGCATGTAATTGGAGTCACTTCCAAAGTTTTGAATGAGCAACGAATTACTAATGGATCTTGGGTAGTTATAGAGAAATTACATTCAAGTGGAGATGCGGAACCAATGGAGCTAACACCTCATCCTCAACTGCAATCAAAAGAATGCATAGAGCATTGCTCCTTCAACAGTGAAGTATTATCTAGTAGTGATGTTAACCATGGGATAAAACAGAAACCGGTGAACGTAGAAGACAAGAGAATATGCGAATATCCTAGATACTGTTCCAGAAGACTAGTTCAAGTCCATGCAATAGAAAAACACAAACTGGGAGAAACAATGAAAGACAAGATTGTATACATGTCACCATTACTGTGGTTCAACTTTAATGTACACCCATCGCAGCTTGTTCAGGAAAAAGCAAAAGCTCGAATTAAGGTTTGTTTTGATTAAATATAAGAATATTAATTGCCAATAAAAATTACCATGGTCATGGAAAGATATCTTTACTCTAGGGTCAAGAATGATGGAAGTTAACAATTTTGCAGCATTAAAATTTAAGCTGGTTTGAGGGCATCTTAATGTTATCACTAAGAACTGAACTAACGCTGAAACCTCACAAGTATTAGCGCCGATAATGGTATAAACAAGCAATCATCAATGGCTTTTAATTAAATGAAAATAACTTGGTGAATATTGAACTGAAAGGTTTTGGACACAGCATTATTTGAGCATGATTTAATTGCATTTTTTTAACCTAAGCTAACATTAACAATTAACATATAAATTTCCTCAGTGGTGTAAATGCCTCAAAATAATTGTTATTGTTTTTATTTAAAAATTATTCAATTCTTGCAGAGTCTTACTGCTGATACCTTGGTTGATGAGAGAGTCCAGCTAGGTGTCCAACCCAATGATCGGTATCCATCGCATGCCAAAGAAGTTCATATTGCAATCGTTGAATCGCCAGAGTACAGTCCTAAAGCAGACTACACCAGTGTTCTCCAAGCATATTTTGTTGAACATAGGCTTCTCTCAGAGGGAGACATATTTTGCATCTCATTAAAACGTAAGTAAATTTTAGAGTAACGTATTAATATTTGGTATGAGAACCTCACTATTTAGCATATATATAGTCTATATTATCAAGAGTACATAATAGATTATCTCTATTATGTACTCTTGATATTATTAAACACTTTGATTTTTAGCTCATCTGACTAAACAATAAAATATTCCAGTCAAATTACTGTAACGGAGAATCTAAAACACCATATTACACGTATATAGGTATGATTGTAGAGTTGTTGACCAGTTCGACGAAATAAACGTAATAGCTAGGATCGACGTTGTCATCTCTCCCATAGGAGTAACAACTGTTTTGGGCTAGCTTTACACATTCACATACCAAAATTTAACAAAAACGAATGAATTTAGATGGCCATTTTCATTTTTGCCAAAAAGTGGGCGTGGCTCGAAAGTAGGTCGACTGGCGTGCTCCAAAATAGGACGTTCAAATCCCTCCCATAGGAGCAACAACTATATGCAATTTAAAACATGTGGGTCAAACGCTTCTTGAGTTATCGTTGAACGTAGGCAGACACTGAAATGCATAGTGAAACTGCCAAAATCTACCTAATTTGCATAATTTAAAAAAAATATCAAAACCCCTGTGATATGTTTTGGGGCCAGTCCTTATTCATTCACATACCAAAAATGAGCAAAATCAGCTGAACCTGAACTGACTTATGGCCATTTCCATTTTTGCCAAAAAGTGGGCATGGCTCGAAAGTAGGTTAACTGGCGTGCTCCACGATAGGAAGTTCAAATCTCTCCCATAGGAGTAACAACTGTATTCAATTTGAAACATGTGGGTCAAACGGTTCTTGAGTTATCATTGATTGTACGCAGACACTGAAATGCATAGTAAAATTGCCAAAATCTACCTAATTTGCATAATTAAAAAAAAAAATCAAAACCCGTGTGATATGTTTTGGGGGCCAGTCCTCATTCATTCACATACCAATAATGAGCAAAACTCATTGAACCTGAACGGACTTGTGGCCATTTCCATTTTTGCCAAAAAGTGGGCGTGGCTCGAATGTAGGTAAACTGGCGTGCTCCAAAATAGGACGTTCAAACCTCTCCCATAGGAGTAACAACTATATGCAATTTGAAACATGTGGGTCAAACGGTTCTTGAGTTATCGTTGACCGTAGCCAAATGTTGACGGACGGACGTACACACGGACGTACGACGGACGACACCCCATGGCAATAGCTCATCTTGACGATGTCAAGGCGAGCTAAAAAAACACTATAAAACAACAATCCACAGACATCACATATATAGCCATAGTGGCTAGTGTTCACATAGCGACTGCATGTGAACTACTATTTTCTCTTGGATATTTTGTCAGAGAAACATTGGTGTCAGCTCTTGTGCCCTCGGCGATGCGGTGTGGCTCGCTGGGAGATTGGAGCTGGAGCTGCTGCTGATTTCGGTGGGCATGCGTGCGTGGGAGGCATACCAGCAGCAAATAGGTAAAAGATTAGCTCGCCGAGTGTTGCGTCGATGTCCAATCTCCCAGCGAGCCACACCGCATCGCCCAGGACACAAGAGTGCGCAAGAGTCGTTAGTAGCTGCCTATTGTTTCAAGTTAGGCGGGTTATGGATTCGTTTTGCTGGCAACAAAATGCAGAATCGTGTCGTACGTTTTAGTCTGTATCTCCGGATTGCGGGTGTATACGAGGAAACGATTTCGCACGATGCTAGGCGAATGTACTGTGTACGATTTGAGCTCAAGTTGGTTGAGTTACGCGTAGTAAATCGTAGGTTTTCTAAGGCTAATAAATCACGAATTTCCCATGTTTATTGAAGTCACACTCCTTCCCTATTATCTACTTCTGATATATATATATCAATTGTCTTCTTTTGAAAATAGGGCATCACCCACTCCATATCGGTATTCCTAAAGAACATTCTCACGGAATTTTCTGGAAAGAATCTAGCGACGAAGTGTATTGTTTCTATTAAAGATAGTGACCATGTTAAAAAGTTGGTCTTTCGTGTCTATTCGCTCACCTCACTGTATCAAAGTGGAGAGTGATAAGTACGTGAATACACTTACGACAACGTCTACGAGTAATACGCATATTCAGTAGGAACTTATTCTCATCCTCAAGATTTACATGTTCGTGCACAGAGATGTTCCTACGCCACTATGGGGTTTCACTGTAATGATTCTGTCGTTATAAATCGTGTGAATATGTTTCCCTAGAAGGGTCGTACTTGCTGCAAAGTCTGATAGTGTATTCTCGTGTTAAAGTCGCAAGAATTCATGACTGGTTGCTTCTTTCTGTCTGTGAAGGTTTTAGTTCTGTGTCGCAAGGGTGACGTGTTGCTCTCACCAATCTCTGAACTTCTGGTGAAAGACCGACACTTTCACAGATTCTAGATTTTTCGATACTGTCGTTCTTGATTGTGAGCCGCAAAATCAGGGCTGTTAACTCTGAAGTCAGAGATCATCATCACTCATGCTATTTAATGAATGCTGTGACAATTCAGACCTGGAATTGAAAAGATTCTGTTTCTAACATGGCTTCCTTGTCAACATGTGACTCAAACGACTTTGTAAAGGTTGACCAGGTTGGAGATGAGCTGAATCTGCAGATTTCATCTGACGATGACACACTAGTTGTCAGTGAAACTGTGCCCAATCTGTTGATAAAACCGGTGTGTTTCACCCTTGTATTATGCCACAGTCTTTCCTGAACCAGGGATTGTGTGATACCTCTCTAAAAGATGATGGGCATGTAATTGGAGTCACTTCCAAAGTTTTGAATGAGCAACGAATTACTAATGGATCTTGGGTAGTTATAGAGAAATTACATTCAAGTGGAGATGCGGAACCAATGGAGCTAACACCTCATCCTCAACTGCAATCAAAAGAATGCATAGAGCATTGCTCCTTCAACAGTGAAGTATTATCTAGTAGTGATGTTAACACATGGGATAAAACAGAAACTGGTGAACGTAGAAGACAAGAGAATATGCGAATATCCTAGATACTGTTCCAGAAGACTAGTTCAAGTCCATGAATAGAAAAACACAAACTGGGAGAAACAATGAAAGACAAGATGTATACATGTCACCATTACTGTGGTTCAACTTTAATGTACACCCATCGCCAGCTTGTTCAGGAAAAGCAAAAGCTCGAATTAAGGTTTGTTTTGATTAAATATAAGAATATTAATTGCCAATAAAAATTACCATGGTCATGGAAAGATATCTTTACTCTAGGGTCAAGAATGATGGAAGTTAACAATTTTGCAGCATTAAAATTTAAGCTGGTTTGAGGGCATCTTAATGTTATCACTAAGAACTGAACTAACGCTGAAACCTCACAAGTATTAGCGCCGATAATGGTATAAACAAGCAATCATCAATGGCTTTTAATTAAATGAAAATAACTTGGTGAATATTGAACTGAAGGTTTTGACACACAGCATTATTTGAGCATGATTTAATGTCATTTTTTTAACCTAAGCTAACATTAACATTAACATATAAATTTCCTCAGTGGTGTAAATGCCTCAAAATAATTGTTATTGTTTTTATTTAATAATTATTCAATTCTTGCAGAGTCTTACTGCTGATACCTTGGTTGATGAGAGAGTCAGCTAGGTGTCCAACCAATGATCGTATCCATCGCATGCCAAAGAAGTTCATATTGCAATCGTTGAATCGCCAGAGTACAGTCCTAAAGCAGACTACACCAGTGTTCTCCAAGCATATTTTGTTGAACATAGGCTTCTCTCAGAGGGAGACATATTTTGCATCTCATTAAAACGTAAGTAAATTTTAGAGTAACGTATTAATATTTGGTATGAGAACCTCACTATTTAGCATATATAGTCTATATTATCAAGAGTACATAATAGATATCTCTATTATGTACTCTTGATATTATTAAACACTTTGATTTTTAGCTCATCTGACGTAGTCATATGCAGCTTGTAGAATCGCATGATTGTCCGTGCGTGCGTGCGTGCGTGCGTCCGTCAACAGTTGGGCACAAATCTAAACTGTCGACGTACGGACTCGAAAGTTGGACGTGGGGGGGTAATCCGAAAACGAGTTGGGATGTCGAAGCTGGGGGTCAAAGGTCAAAGGTCAAGAGGTGTAAAAGAAGGTGAACATTTCCTCCTTAACATAAGGTATAGGGAGGAAATGCAGAATTGCGGCACAAAGCTAAACGGCTCGACCTAGGCTCGTGATAGTTGGTGTATAGCATCATGGTAGGAAAAGCTCACTGTGCCGAAATTGGAGGTCAAAGGTCAATGGGGCACAGGGCAGATTTTAGACATTTTCTGAGGACATGGTCTGACGGAGCGATTGAAAAACTTTTTGTTTCAGGCAGTGACTACCATTTTTATGGCTTTATTGAAAGGACCATGAAATGTACTTTCCGCTGACATGCGAAGAGTAAGTGTCAGATAACCTTTTGACCCTCAAGAGGAGGGTTAAACATTGATTTGTTGACTGTTAACAAAGGACTGAACTGCTTTTGCTATTATTAGAGCCATACCTGTGTGAATGTGAGGCTACAGTTGCACAGTTTAATGGCAAAGGCAAATGTTTGTTGAACAAGGTTTACGCTCCTTAATCATATATTTTTCTAAAGCAGTCTGTCTATAGCACCCTGAAGGCTGAATCAGTGAATGCTCGCGTGGGTAGGCAAAAACACAGGCACA